TATACAGCCCACCCCAGGGACTTCTCCGCCCCCAGGGTCATCAGGCGGCTCCATAAGGAGCAAAAGTATATTAAAATAACTTACCAATAAATCTTCTCTTTAATACACTATTAAATAAAACTAAGAAATAACAAATATATATACATTAACTACACTAGACTACTGATCCAAACCCTAGAAATAAAATAAAATTTAATTAAATCGAAAAACGCGTCAGTCTACGATCGTATTTCCCGCGCTTCCAACGATATCTTTGTTTGTAAACTACAAAGTTTGTGGTTACATTGTCGAACTTGCTCTATTCTATTATATTAACAGAATTATTAAATCAAACGTCAATCAAACACGTCGGGTTGCCAGGGTAACAATAAATAAGGGTCGTTTTGTTATTTATTTAACCAATACACATCGATTATTGGTCAAAGAGGTGTTTATGCCCTGTACAAGCTCTATTCACTGAATTACTATCACCTTGTTATAACGTATGTATAGTGATTTTTTTATTAGTAAGACCGGATATTTATACGAACTTCTTGCCTCACTTCTGTACAGTTTGGATTAGACTCATTATTTATATCTAACATATTACTTAGGCTATCTTCCAATCTGGTTCCAAATAATGCTTCCGTAGCTGTCTTTTGAGTGGTGGAGTTAGTTGCATTATTAATTCCTCACTGAATTTTTCCTACACACACATGTCGCAGTTCCGTTCGTCCTCACCGTCAGAAAACTTTACAAGTGAGCTTAAGATCGTTTAATTATATCTTCCGGCTTGGCCGTTGGCTCTGAGACACACAACAGCATTCAAAACATGTTTAATACCATGAGTATCGCAAAAAGATTTAAAAGCTGCTGAAGTGAAAGAGGTACCTCGATCTGATATAATTCGAGATGGTAAACCGAAGTCATAAAAATATTTAGCAATACCTTAACAGTTGTTTTAGTCTTTGTATCCTTAGCAGCTCTTACAAACAAATACTTGGTAAATCCGTCCACTATGGTGAGAATGTAAATATTGCCGTTCTTGCTTTTGACAAATTGACCCAAGTGGTCAATGTGAATGGTGTGGACCGGAATGCTTACCCTCTCTATCGGATACAACTGACCATTCATATGTCGAGACGCGTTATCCTTATGCCTTTTGCGTGCCTATAGGCACACTTAATGCAAGACTTATCATACTTTTTAACAATTCTACGTAACTTAGGAAACTAGAAAACAGATTGAATCTTCTCGGTAGTCTTTGATATTCCTAGATGACCTGCGTCATCGTGGTTAGATTTACACATTTGCCATCGAGCACTGCGAGGAATTACTAAACAGATCTTATCATCAACTCTCCTATACACTCTAACTAAATAGTTCTTAACTAAATAGTTTCTCCTAATATCTTTAGCTTCTCTATCAGACTAAGGCTTAAGAATTTTATATATTCGGGATATCTCAGGATCTGACATTTGTAAAGTCAAGAGCCAATTATCAGTGTCGATACTATAGACTGTAACTGTAGAATTATCGATAACCTCGGGTGTTAATTTCGTGTTACGGCTCAGTGCGTCCACATAAGCCATGCGGATGCCTGGCCGGTACTCTATACTAAAATTGAATTCACTTGTTAAAAGCCACCACCTAGCTATTCAGGGTATTAAGTCGCGTTTCGTTAATGTAGTTCGAATAGCGTTACAGTCTGTTACAGTTTTGAACTCAATCCCCAAAAAATATACCCTAAATTTCTTTAACGAACATACAATTGCAAGGGTCTCGAGTTCATAAGAGTGCAAGTGACGCTCCTCCGGGGCGGTTTACTGGCTAAAGTAAGCTATTGGCTTAAGAGCACGCGACTCCGGCCGCTATAGCATCAATATCCCACCCACGCCTAAAGAACTTGCATCCGTATGCAACTCAGTTTCAAAATTAGGATTGTATATAGCTAAAATTGGTCGGCCAATTAATTTATCCTTTAAGGTAGTAAACGAACGAAATTCTTTATCTGTCCATTTAAAACATTTCCCTTCTTGAGAAAGTTGGTTAGAGGCCTAGCTGTTTCACCGAAACTTTTGATAAATTTTCTAAAATAGCCTGCTAGTCCCAAAAACTGACGGACTTCATGTACGTTCTGAGGAATAGGAAACTCTTTTACAGCTAGAATCTTACTTTCGTTAGGACGTATGCCTTCTGCAGAAATCTCATAGCCTAGATAGTCAAGGGTATTACTGAAGAATCGGCATTGAGATAATTTTAAAGTGAGCCCATTTTGCCGTAACAACTTCAAAGCATTCTCTAACCTCTCAAATCCCTCCTCCAGGGTAACCGATGGCACAAGAATGTCACCCAATGCTAACTCATCAAGTTTATTACTTACCCAGAAATCAGGTCTAAAGATGTAAAGAATCTATTGCCACTAAGGTTAGTTAATTGATCATTAATTAAGTGATCATCGATTATCGGCAACGGAAAACAATCCTTCCTCGTTTTGTTATTGAGAGCCCTATAATCAACGGATAAGCGCTGTTCTCCTGTTTTCTTCCTTACCAATAAAATAGGACTGGCATAATTCTTGAATTGGACTCTTGTATAATGTCATTTTGCAACAAGTCATTTATTATCTCTTTCCGAAAAGGATAATCTATATGGTCGGTAAACTACAGGTTTCTCATCCAATAAGTCTATTCTCATTCTAGTTGAGTTGTTACAACCATTTTCTCCTAGATTAAATGCAAAGCAGATAATTGAGTAAAAGTTAATGATCTACCTAATGCCTCTTTGTCAATTTGGGAACCAACATTTATGTCAGATATTAGTAAGGGCTCATATTCCGAATTACTTATTACTTTACATACATATTACTTTATTTACATAGGTACTATCTTTTCAACAAAACAAGTTCCTTTAGCAATAGGGCATTTCTTGGATAATGTAAGATTTTGACAAGATAAATTTGTCACGGGCAAATAGCACCTTCCATCAACAACACTATAAACTCCCTGGTGCAAATAATGCACTTTCCTAGGCTCCATGAGGATAAAAATTACATTAAATAAGGTAAGTGCAAGAAGTGCAAAACTACATAAAATATAAAATTACTTAGGCAAAGAATGGAACAAAACTAAGCAATCAAAACATTTTGTAGACAATGAAAGGGACATAAAGAAAAGTGCTGAATCAAAGCTCAAAATATTGTTCAAGTACATAAGAAATATATAATATTTGACATTATAAACTGTGTTCAGATAATTTAATATGCCCCGTAGACTTAACCATGTTATTTCTAGCTTGTAAGTTGCACCATACCTGAGATGAACTTGATAAATGTCAATGTCTAGTCTACCTAGTCCTGCTTCGTTTCTAGGGTTCCTTTATTCTGTTCAAATTAAATTGTTAAAGATGACTCTGGCCTGGACCAACTGCAAACATCTTAATAACACACTGCACAAGATATTTTATATCAGTCTGTGATATATCTGCATTTGATTTTATTATTATTTTTGACCACAAGTACTTCAACCAGAAACAAAGTTAATTCATAAAATTATGTTATATGTATTATAATTACTTTAAAAATAAAGCTTTTGTATTTTATAAGCTTTATTTAAGTTCACGATGTCAAAAATAACTAACAGAATAAAATCTATCTTAATGAGCACATTCCTATTAAATGAGTGAATTCTTTAAAGTTCACCCAATTCTGAGAAAACATGGACACCAAAAACATTCTGATATTCACATTTAGAATCTACAATACAAGCTTTATTTATGCTAAATTCTGTTGGCATTAAGGACATCAATAAATTCAAATTTTTAATTTACCTTTACACTGCTACAATAATTTGTCTTATGGTAGATAGGAGTTTAAAATTGCATAGTTTGTAACTTACTGCACAGGTAAACCCCAATGGTTATAATTGACTTCTCATAATACTTACTTGATGGAAATATATAATTTTAAAGTCTTCCTTAAAAAAAAGGCTTACTGGTAAAAGCTACTGCCTTGTGTGTGTAAATTAGTCTTTACAAATTATGTATTATACATTTTCCTTGTACCTGTATTACTAAAGAATTTTCATATTAACACAATATTGTTCAATAAATAAATCCATGAATATTTATTTATGATTATATGAATATTACAATGGTTCACTTTAATAACAAAAAATGAGTAACTCTTAATGTTCGTTTTTTCTAGGTACACATGACCTCTAGGATACTCACATGACTCATGATAGGCATACATAGCCTCTGGTAGCTGAAGCACACTTGGCTTCCTATTGTGGGCACACATAACCCTCTAACGACCAAGCACACATGGCTCGGTAGGCATACATAGCCTCTAGTAGCTGAAGCACACTTGGCTTCCTATTGTGGGCACACATAACCCTCTAACGACCAAGCACACATGGCTCAGTAGGCATACATAGCCTCTAGTAGCTGAAGCACACTTGGCTTCCTATTGTGGGCACACATAACCCCCTATCGACCAAGCACACATGGCTCGGCAGGCATACATAGCCTCTAGTAGCTGAAGCACACTTGGCTTCCCATCGTAGGCACACATAACCTACCAAGCACACATGGCCAATAGGCACACATCACCCATTAAGCACACATGGCTCGATAGGCATACATAGCCTCTAGCAGCTGAAGCACACTTGGCTTCCTAATGTAGGTTATTATGAATACTTAATGGATTTATTGTAGTAGATAAATCACAATCAATGTATCTAAAAATGTAATCAAATTATTAATTTAGTGATTTTTGTTTTTTTTTTCAAATTATTGATTTTTTCCATTATTAAGCAATGCAACGCAATCACACTCACAACACAAGAAACTTATTTGTTTTGAAAGAGAGTATGTACATGTACGTAACAGACCACAACAAGCTAGTGAATACAAACTCATTGCTACCAACATAAAATCTTAAAATTTTCGCAGTTTATATCGGGGGAATTCCCTAGCGGTAGAGAACGATTGCCGGAAAACGATGTACACTGCTGCTTATGATGCTTATAACTTTCAGAGAAAGTAGCAGTGTATGTCGTTTTCATATAAGGTGCGTTCCAAAATTATAATTTGTATCCACGGATCAAAATTAAAATTTGTGTCAGTGAATCTCGTACAATTATGTACGAGGATGGATGTGACCTCGTACCTCGTACCAGGACCTCTAAATCTCGTATTTGTACGAGAAACCTCGTACGGATGGCAACCCTGGGGCCACACCAACCAGCCCTGCGATTCTGTAACTCACTTTTCGAACTCACACAGCGGTTTTCGCATCGGCGGTCCCTCTCAAATCAGTCGTGAAGCAGTCATTTTATGATTTGGCATTCTAATAATCAATAAACTACAAGCTCCCACCTTTTCAGAATGCCAAATCATAAAATGACTGCTTCACGACTGATTTGAGAGGGACCGCCGATGCGAAAACCGCTGTGTGAGTTCGAAAAGTGAGTTACAGAATCGCAGGGCAGTTCCTGTATTTAAGCAACCAGCATTTGTAATTCCAGTTTCGTGACATTTCGTGTACTCGTTCCACGACCGAACCCGAATCGACCACAGAGTCGAACGGCAGTCATAGGAACGAGTGTCAAAGATTACTTTAATATTTATAGTCATTGATTTAATATTTAAAATTATGATAAATAACGTTTAATAATAATAATGACTATGGAGTCATTATTATTATCGACCATTGAATAGTCATTTCGAAATTAACCATTCCTATTAACGGTTTTACACTAATTTGACTTGACGTTATTCATTTAATATAATGACAATGGCATTAATTAAAAATAAACGTGATTTGAATAATAAATTTGTAAAATAATAATAAGTAATCACAAATTCATTACACAATGTACAATATAATACTTACTTAAATGTAAAATTAATTAACTTTAATCTAGAATCTATTATATCTAATTATAAATATTGCCACAGAGTGGCGGATTTACCAGCAGGCTGAGTAGGCTGGAGCCTAGGGCGGCAAATTTAGTTCTCTGCATGAACAATTCCTAAACGCTTTACTATTACATTATACATTAATGATTATGAACTTTTAGAATATCGCGATTCGATATTATAATCAAAATTTAGTAATTTTTACATATATTCTTCACTGATAACTGCTATAATTTTTTCTCCGTGTACCTAATAATTATGAGATCTGCTTACCCAATTCAATCGATATAGTATCGATGGTCTAATAAAAATACTGACTAAAATTGACTAATTTTTACTAAATAAAAATCTAGTTCAATATCTTATAGAGATCATATTAATCAAATAACTGATAGTTGAACGACTGTGACTTGACAATAAAAAAATTCCCTCCACAAAATATGAAGTGAGACAATTTGCTCATTAGAAAATTGATACATTTTATCAGTTAATTATTTTATTTGCAGTAAGAAAAAGTTTGGAAAATCCAAATGAGCAGGCCTTAAGCGCTCATGTCGTACACGAATTATTTAAATTAAATGTTTACATCAGTAGATTTGATAACTTTTTGGCAAAGCCAACTTTTTCAGAAAATGCCAATCGGAATGAATTAATTATAATAAGATAAAACAATACTCAGCTGCAATTTTTTATTCAACCTTTCGTCTGAAAGAATTTAAATAAATCAAATTTCTGGATCATTAATAAGTCTGTCTTCATTCCTGCAAGAACAGAATCTAGGAAACATTTATCCAAACTTGGATATAGCACTTCGTATGGCTCTTTGTACACCAGCGGCAAATTGTTCAGGTGAAAGAAGCTTCTCTTGCTTGAAGTGAGTAAAGAACTACCTACGATCGACATTAAGTCAAGAAAAGCTAAACGCTTTAGCTCTCTTGTGCATAGAGTCAGAGCTAATGAACAAGATTTCGTACGACGATATAATAAATGATTTTGCGAATTCAAAGTCTCGCAAAAAAGTATTGTAATGCTTTTATAATTTAACTTAAATCATAATGCTTACAAATAATAAAGAAAATATATATTTATTTTATTGTTTTTAAACTGTGAGTGTAATAATAAATGTTAATCAACGTTCGCCAAATGTATGTTTTTTACGTAAGCTTAATTCATATTTTGTAAGTATTGTATAGTTTTAAGACATACCTTACCTTACTTTAAAAGTGGTATACGATTGAGATATTTTTTCCTTAAAATAATGTTTTTTGATAATTCTTTGCTGTAAAAATAATCAAGGATCTATCACGGTACCATAGTTCTCAATAATAATAACTATATGGGAAAGTTGATGTAACGAGGATGATAGAGCACAAATTATAAAGTTGGAATTTTATTGATAGAAAATTGATATGATTGTGGACTAAGATATCAAAATTTAGAGGCGGCAAAAATTTAATAGCCTACGGGCGGCAAATCTATAAATCCGCCACTGTTGCCACTACTTAAAAATACGCCACTCGAGGTACGATAAAAACACACCCTATTCTCATACAAAACTTATGTGATAAAATAAACACGGAAATTGAGTACATTCGATATTATACACAGCCTAAGACAAATCTCAACTATAAATCTAGCGTGCAACATAGTCCCACATACAAGTCAACTCACGCTGTACAATTAAAAATAACAAATTTCAAAAACCAGCCTTCCAGTTGTAATTTTTTTCGTAGCAACTAATAAGCAAAATAAATTAAAACTCGTCCATCAAAATATAGCAGGGTTGCTTAACAAACAAGATTTAATTAATGTAGCCATCACAGACCTGCAAAGAAATTTAAGAAATGTAGACATCATATGTTTCACAGAAACTTTTATTAAACAAGGAAGTGAATCCAACGTTAAGATAAATAATTATAGATTAGTCTCCTCATATTTTCGGCCTAATCAACGCCGAGGAGGTTCGTTCATCTTAATAAAAAACAATTTAAAATACTAGGAAATTTGCTACCCTAGACCCCCATTTCCTCTCCAATTCGAATATTGTGGCGTTGAAATAAGTAAATACAACTTAATAATAATATGTATTTACCGGACTCCTACTTTAGATGTAACAACTTTTTTATATCATTTAGAACAACTTTTAGGTAACCTAACTTTTAAGTAAGACTGGAACATAGACATTTTAAAAAATAATAAAAGTTCCCGCGAAGTTATCTCTATTCTTCAAAATAATAATTTACATAATCATATAAAGCGCCCAACACGTAAAAACTCCTGCTTAGACTAAATAGCAAGTAACATAAATGACACACACTCGGACCTCCACTACTTGGCACTTTCAGACCATGAGACCGCACAATCGCTGACTTTTACACTCGAAGAAAACGAAAATTTTAAAGATACTCCAAAATACTGGTTTATATACAGACGAGAACTCAATAGGGAAAACACTAATACATTTATGTATTAGGTGTCACCTTCTCACAAGCCTCACCTTCTCGGACGTATACAGCTTCACCACAACAAATGAAGCATTCGACAACTTCCATGACACTATAACATTATTTTACAATGCAGTCAAACATCTAGTGAACCTTCGCAAAACATTGAAGATGAACCGTTTATTCCCGAAGATAAGTTTAAACATATTTCCACCCAAACCGACACATCCATAGAAAACGAAGAAATTTTAAAGCAGCTAAAAGAGAAATTCAATCATCCTTCTACTTCTACTTCTATGAAGACTATGATATTAACAATAGCACCCACGTCATGGAGTGAAAATAAACTTGCAGAAGAATTTGGAACGTCCAGGCGACAAGCAAGAAAAGCAAAACAACTTGTCAATCAGTTCGGTATCTTATCCTCTCCGAACCCACGCGGTCGTCGTAAACTACCAGCCGAGACGGAGAACTTGGTTAAAGATTTTTATCTACGAGAAGACATTAGCCGCATAATGCCTGGTAAAAAAGATTTTATATCTGTTAAATTAGACGATGGAAAAAGAACGCACATACAGAAACAGCTCCTTCTCTGTAACATTGACGAACTTTATCAGAGGTTTAAAGATGAATACCCTAACATCAAGGTAGGCTTAACAAAGTTTTTTACACTAAGACCCAAACAATGTATCCTCGCAGGCGACTCCGGAACACATATGGTATGTGTTTGTACTTACCATCAAAACGTGAAATTGATGTTGTCGTGATGATGACGTGAAACGCTGTAATTTTTGTCCAGGCTTAAGTGCAATTCGAGAGCATTTAAAAATACAATTTGATAACAATCAAGTCACAGAAGTGCAGTTTGAAAAATGGGATGGCACAGACCGCTACACGATATCTACTCGACTTTTATCTTCCGATAGTTTTGTAGATGAGTTATGTGACGCTTTGGACCTTTTGAAACCTCATGCTTACATTGCAGAGCAACAGGCGGATTATTTTAAAACTCTTAAGGAGACTATCGATGAAGGTCAAATTCTCGTACAATGTGATTTTGCAGGAAACTATCGTTTTATTGTCCAAGATGCTGCTCAATCCTTTCATTGGAATAATGCACAGGCAACGCTTCTAACGTCAGTTTTTTACTACAGAGACGGTAATGAAGTAAAACACGGAAGCATTGTTATGATTTCTGACGACCTGAAGCATGACACAGCCACCTTTTATGCTTTCCAAAAGCTACTACACAAGCATCTTTTAGAAAAATCGATAGTTGGATCAAAAATTATATACATAACTGACGGGGCTTCCCAACATTTTAAAAATAGATTTAACTTTGTGAATCTGTTTTATTACAAAGAAGATTTTAATGCAGATGCAGAGTTGCATTTTCATGCAACATCTCACGGAAAGGGGCCATGCGATTGTCTAGGGGGGAATCTGAAACGTTTAGCTGCGCGTGCAAGTTTAAATCATCTTTAAAACAAACCGCCATTTATTTCTGTTCTAAAGATGATATAGAGCGTCAGATAATTTTTTTGGAACCCCGGTTTGCGTCTACGGTCACCATTTCAGGAACCAAAAAGTTTCACAGCTTCATTCCAACAACCACAGGCCTTCTTGTAAAGAGGACCAGTTCTGCCATAGATTCCCATTGTAAAATTGTTAAAATTACAAAATAAACAGTTCTTGTGTTGTACCAATGTTGTTTTATTATGTTTGAACTATTTTATCACAGTAATTTATACAAGCCATTTTATTTGACGCACACCAACCGATCTAAGCAAGTGCTACATATGACGCCCCTTGCGACGCTGGTGTATATTATTCAACGTATCTCCTAAACTAATAGAGATCCCATTTTAAATTTTCTAGTGTACTTTCATTATCATTTAAGCTATATTTTGAAAGAAAAAAAAATTAAAAAAAATTGGTCGAAGTGACTGTAATTCTGGTTTGAAAAGTTTACTTCCGGTTTTGGCCATTAATTTTTTTTTAATTTTTTAATTTTTTTTTACTGTCAAAACTAACAGTATATTTTTAATATGTATCGCTATGTAAAATATTTTATAGTAGATTTGTTATATTCGAAAAATTACTTTCGAAAAATTGTAGTACCAATCAACGACAATTCTTTTGAAACCTATAACTTGGTAAATATACACTATACAAAAAAAATATTTTGCGTACACATTCATACCTACTAGAAGTACAAATGGGCCGAATGTGGTCGATTTTCAGAACCTCACTTTTTTTCCCTGTCCGCTTCACGTGAAATGTCCCAATAGTTAAGTCCTGATGTTCCGGTCCGATTAATGCTGATATAGAAAATGAAGTTGTGGCATACGAAAGCGTTAGCAGACCTATCAAACGTGTCAACGAGCCGCGTACGAATTTTGAGGCCGAGGAATAAAGTTTACTGGTGGTCCGACGAATTGGCTGGCATTGGCTGATGATTCTGTGAGAGGTCGCGAAGGATATTTACGCGATATAGGCGCCGACCATAAGCACGTCGCAGTCAAGACGAAGAGGAACGGCTATACGTAGATTATCAAGCTGCAAAAAAGAATCTAAGGGTAGCAAAGTCCAAAGAAAAGGCTTGGAATGAGTTCCTTATTACGTTACAATAAGACCCCTGGGGCCGCCCCTTTCGACTTGTAAAGAGAAAGACTTGTTTCGACGAGAAACTGCGTGCGCCACCACTGACGTCCAGCATGCAACCTTCGCTTCTCGACTCAGTGGTAGCCACTTTGTTTCCATGTGGGAATAGGCATACAACTACACAAGCGCATCCGTACTCGATTTCAAGCGAAGAGTCAATACGCGTGAGATAACTATATAACTGGTATCACAAGTCCTGTTCCTTGTGAACAAGTTGAAGACAGACTATGATCTCACATCAAGCCAAACAAGAAAGGATTGTATTGTAGCAAAAACCACTTATACATTGAAGACAGAAGGAAAAGGAGCGTTCTACAAGAGGGGGTCCTTATACCTGGGGGGATCTTGGATCTTCGACCCCTGAAAACATGACAAAGCCCAAACTGACAGTGGCCTGCCCCAATCCGACAGTTAAATCTGTTATGAAACTTTTTTACATTCTCATTTATTTAGAGAGAATGGACCCTGACAGCGTTTTGATTGGATTGGTGAAAAGAATGATACACGATAAGCTAGAGACATTACCTCGAGCATTCAGGGACTGTCCAATAGAAGATTGGTGTGGGAGGAACTACGGGGGGAGTAATGTGCACCGTTTCAAAGCCTCATCTCAAAAGAGATCAGCTCTCTTTTAGTTAGCCACCCATGTCACCATAAATACAAACCAGTTGGGAAAGGCACCTAGAGGAAATGAAGATTACAATCTTTTCTTCCAAGAAATTTTCTTATTCATACAAAATTACATATCAGAATTAGCTTGGCAGGGCTACAGAGTGTCCGATACTTATGCTATACCCCTCAATTGTCCGGATTGCACCTAGCTGTGAATAAACCAATATCATTAGACAGAAACCAACCAGATTATCAGTCTCGGTTGATATTAGATCTGAAGTCGCCATCACTCAACCGGCTCGACATGACTCAGAGTATAAGGATGATATATATAGGGATGTCAGTCGCTATTGGAAGAAAAATAGCTCTAGGTCATACGATACCGATGTTCATCATACTTTAGAGTCATATGAAAAGTATAAAACAGAAGAGATCACTGATCTCTCTGAATCTTATGTCAGAGTTCAGAAGCTGCAGTTTCGATTATCTACTTGTTGGTTTAATTGAAGAGAGCAGGCAATTATATGACTTCATTCTCTCCAGATGTCATGAAATTCCAAAAGCGGTTCTTGAACACCTTGCAAATTGCTCAATTCTTGAGACTTAATATTACGAAGCATTCCAAAGTAAGTCAGGTTAAAGGACTATCGAGACTCTTAGGGGATGCGCTCAAGAATTACATACTCTTTAACAAGGAGTGCATTTTCCGAGCTGCAACCTTCACTACATTTTCTAGTGACTTAATATCTTGACAATGTTATTTCTGGAAGACATTCTTATTTCACCTCTTACAACAAAAGAAATCATACTCTAAAGAACACAAAGATGAAGAGAGATCTAACCCAAACGATCAACGTGACGTACGCCATTTATTAATTTTTGACATGAGCGCTAGCTCTGTGGCGCGGCTAGCGGCGTTGCGATCCGTCATAACGGGTTTCTTTGTTTTTCCAATACTTGAGAGAGTAACGTTTCCACGTACCCTGCGCTCTCGATTCAGTAACAAATGAAAATACTGTTTCTCATGTATTTATTATTATTTTATTCTTTCATTCGCCATTTAGCAGTGAACTAATACAGACGCTTTTTTCATCATCTCAATTTAATACTCTTCAGTTAATTACTTTATACTCTTTATTGCCGAAATTTGTCACTTCTGATTTTAATAGTTGAGATACATATAAGAAAACAATGACATCGATAAGAGGTGAACTCTATTACTTAACACTAATAAAAAGTGTTATCCGGATAAAAAATCCAAGATCGTACAAGAAAATGTCAATAATATTTGGAACGATCTCAAGCAAGAGTACAAAAGTGATGACAAGCAATTTCAAGTGAATATTCAAAATAATATAGAATCTTTTAATTATTTTCATTCAAATCAAATCAAAGAAAGGTTGAAGTAGTTCAGCGCGTACAACCAACTCGTATCGCAGCTCGGCGAGCTCGAGAGCTGTTATGCATAATAGGAGATGAAAACGATGGTACGGAAGATGCAGAATGGTTAGATGATTATGAAGTGGACGGTAGTTTTGAAGATGAAGAGGAAGATGGTGCAATACCCATTCTAGATATTTCGGCCCATTTAGAAAATCTTTGGAATAATAGAAATATTATTTATTATTTATATGTTCTTTATGAAAGATATTTAAATTTTATTATAACTAAATAAATATTTTTTATTTTCAATTTTTTTTTTTAGAATTGATCATACTCAGCAGGGGGGTCTTAGTTTTTGTGACGAAATATTTTTAGGGGGGCCACAGAAAGTGCGACACAGCGTGACGTGCGATGGGGGGGGGCTCAATAAACTTTTTTATGAACGGCCCCTTGTTGAAATTCCATATGAAGAAAGCGATGCGATATCCGTATGGAGAGATCTTAAAGGTCAGTTGAATGAGCCCAGAACCCCACTCTTCCCCCTGGAGAATAAGATTAAATATCAGAGAACAACTGATATGCGAGCTCTGAGTGAAAAATACTAAGCTTGCGCAAGAAAGCTCTTCCTTATCGCTCTGTATGGTGGTCGGAAAGAGGACACAACGATGGATATTTTGATTCCACCACCTTGTAAAATCAATGACAACAAATAAGACGAATAATCTTTCACTGCTCCCACCAACGAAAAGCGCAGTCCGCCAACACGTTTTCCGGACATATTTACAAGTATGGGTATCCTCAGGTATGGGTTTTTTTTTATTATATAAATTTCCCAATATCCCCCCCGACTCTTGTGGTGCGGGACCTTATTTTATACATATATATGGAATATAATACAGGAATGGGGTTGGCGACAGACGAATTACGGGCTTGAACCAATTTGCACACAGCCCCGCACCCGCTCCACCTGAACTTTTGAAACTCATTTCGTGCAAATGTAAAGGAAAGTGTGGGGCTGCTTGTGGCTGCAGGAAAAGCAGGAATAAGTTGCTCGGTTATTTGCCTGCACTGTAGTGGACAGACATGCGACAATGTCGCCAAAGTCGAGATCTTATTCAACGACGATCACGACGATGAAGATTACGATTTTTCGACCGTCACAGCATCATTTGCTTCGATTGAAGAATTTTCACGACTCGAAGAGTGTACCGAAGAGGAACTTCAACAGCCAGGACCATCAAAACGACGAAAAAGTGTGAAAAAATGTATTTTATGAACGGCCCCTTGTTGAAATTGCATATGAAGGAAGCTATGCGATATTACAGACATTAAAACGAATTTGTAGGTCTGAGCACGCTCTAGAATTTCGGACATTTTACAATATCTTAGACGAGAAAAAAGGAAATAGCTAAAAACAATTTCTTCTCCCCAAATTATGTATCTCGATAACGATGATCGATACGTGAAAAATGTATAAGACCTTAATTATTGTAGATCGTGCAAAGAGCAACAAAAAAGTATTCTTAAAAAAAAATCGTATCTCAACGGGGAACCAAGACTGATCGTGGTTGGTAACACAGAAGACAAAAGATCACGTGGTCGTTCACCAACCGGATGGACCGATCAAGTGAGACTCATCATCCTCAAAACTGTGCACTGTCATAAGAGAAGCGCTGGACAGAAACCGGCGGAAACAGATAGTCCGCTCTCGACGCTTCGTTACTGACCACGACGCTCCGACATGAGCTGCCGATTAAAGAGAGATATATAAATTCAATTTCAGTTTTAGTCTAGTACTAATTTATAAAAAATTAATTGTTTAAAAAACCTATTTGTACTTTTTAAAAGTTAGAATTGTTAAACAGCAAGTAATCAATGAAATGGAAATTTAATTAATATTTAATTATTTTGTAAGCTTACTGTTCTATAAAATAAGATTGTTCAATTCGTAAAACCTTACGTCAGATGATGTGACGGTTTCAAAAAATTGTTTAGGTTCTGTTCTGTTTGTAAGGTTATATAGTTACATGCGTTTTATACATAACATGGAACAGCCCTCCAGTTACTGAGATTACATCATCATCATAGATTTGATCACTCATTATTAAGTACTCAAAATATTAAGCTTAAATGAATTACTACGACTTTAGTGTAGTTTCTCCTTTGGTTGTTTCTATTAATACTTTTAGATGTCTTGTTTTCTCCTCTTTTTCTGAAAAGTAAAATTTTAATTTCATTAGTACTTTGATCAAATAGAAAACTGAAGAACTTGTGTAAGCGCCAAGGTTTGTTCAGTAGGTCACTTTAATATTAAATATTTGAAAGTAAAATTTAAAAAACCTACTTGCTCTGTCTTTACGTTTTTCTTAAACAAAAATTTAAACTTTTTTACTTCTTAAAAACTAATAAAAGCATTTAAACTTCTCAGTTATAAACAGAATTATAATATTAACTTAGTAAAAAATAATTAAAGAAAATGTCTGCTTACCATTATTTTGATCACTAGATTTTATATTTCCAAAGTTCATGAAGCATACATTCATTTGATATAATAAATTTAATTGAGTCATCATTGGCTTCTAATATAATTACAATAATATATTTAGAATGTTTAATTAAGTTCATTAGCGACTGCTTTTGCACCTTGAATAGAAATTTGTAAAGTTATACAGTAAATTACCAAATAAACAAGTATTTTAGATATTTACTTACAAGTTACATAATGGATTTTTTCAAATTAAACCATAATTTCATAGACTTACATACCATTTAAATATCAATAAAAAGGTGCTTCCAATAGAATGAAACACCCGACAGGTGTACAGATGACCGATGCATCCAATGACTTAGTTCTGGTTTCCATTTGTTGCTGAAAACAAATAATTAAAGATGTATAATGTTCGTTCTTATAGAGGTGATACTACTCTGATAAGTATCATTAAAATCATAAGATTTGATAAAAGAAATTCCTTTTGAGTTTACAAAGAGCCTAGACTGGGTGTTCAAATTTCAGAAAACTATAGATTAAAGGAAAAAAATAATGATTCACCTGTACTAATTTGTTGGTATTCTTTATATTTACATATTTATCTGGGTCTATTAAGTTATACTCACCTAAGGTAACTAATACTATAAGCACCCCATTGAAAACACACAAAATGAATGCCTTCAACCGCATGTATAAGAACAGATCCTATTTAACACCGGACATAAATAAATAATAACATATTAAAACACATCAAGGGGCCTAATATGAGCTTTCTTAAAACAATCCAGTTGAGATGCTTGTTGTACCATGACCTCCTCCATACCTTCACCTCCTCCTTTGTTTTCTTTTCCCATTTCTAGCCCTGCACGGTTTGTGCGTCAGCTATGCACAAAGGTTAGGAAATGTCTTATTGGATTGAAAATTGGAATGGAATTTGGAAAAGCATCAGGTAAATTTAGGATAATAATAATTTATATAAATATTTCTTTCAAAATTTAGTATATAAGTACATAAATGGTTACAAGTTTATATTGTTATGAAAAATGAAACTGGCGAAAAACTATTAGATGAAAGCCAAGAAATTAAAGGGAAAAACAGATATGTCCTGGAATTCTACAATTTAATCCGGGAGGAAGCCAACTCTCTTGAAGA